CATCACAATTTGGTTTCAGGAAGGGGAAAGGCTGCATAGATGAGTCATCTACACTACGACAAGTTTGAAAGATGCCATTGAATATGACGATGAACTGAATATTTTGTTTGTAGATGAAGAAAAAAGTGTTTGTTTGAGAGAGTAGACAGAAACTAACTATGGGTTGTTCTCGAGGATTATGGGATACAAGAACAATTGTTAGATAACATTATGGCCAAGTACCACACTTCACAAAGCGCAGTGAGAACAAGGGAATGTATATCTAATACGTTTACAATCAATGCATGGGTCTGGCGGGGAAGTGTACTCTCTCGTATTTTATTTACTCTTTCAAGCAATCTGCCCAGAAAATCCAGAAAAACGAGGAACTTTACTTTCCAGAGGAAGAATTACACCCACACAGAATGAACGAGCTGCTGTTTCCAGACGATCACTTCAGAGGGGAGTAGACTGCAAGTACATTTGAACAGAATAACTTTAACATGCAGTTAATACAACACGAAAATAAATACTAATGAAGCTGCAGTTATGCAGGTCGGCAGAATTCAAGTTTCGCTACATATCGGGTTTAATGGTACTTGTCTGAAGCAAATTAAATTTAAATATCTACATAGTAAATTCTCGGAAGACGGGAGAATAGATCGGGAAATTGAAACAAGATGCCAACGAGTGCACTTATATACCAATTGACACCGTTAAGACATCGAAACATAAGTATGAACGCAAAGAAACAGATTACCAACAGCATAGCCATACAAACACTGTGATATCAGTGCCAGAGCCAGACATTATCAAAGGCTAACCTACATAAAATTAACACCTGTGAAATGAGACGTCTGGTAAAAGCCGCCAACCAACCATTTGAGGCAAAGTTGGAAATGATATTATCAGACCGACCGTAGGAAGAACATAATACAGCAGATTCATTGAGAAATAGAAGATCAAATGGTTTGGTCATCTAGAAAGAATGCAGCCAGAACATCTACCAACGCAGGCGCTACAGATAAACAGATCTGAAGTGTAAGCAAGAGGCCGCCCTAAGAGATAGTGGATTAAGGACATTACAGAGCTTTTTTATCGAAATGACAATAGCCATTGCTGCCCATCAACCAATGGCTCGCAAACAGTCTCCCCCCCCCCCTCCCCCGCCCTCTTCCCCACCCCACCCCAACGCTTAACCGCAGAAGTGGAAATTGATGATGACGAGACACACGTTGAGAAAAACCTGATAGCGAGACTGTTGTTGCACTGGAATGCACATGGTCAAAATAATAAAGGCGGACCAAAAACAAATGGAAGTGGTGAGGTTACAATTATGCTGAGGATATGAGGTGGGCTGCATGCAGTGGTAAAGAATATGACCACTTGGCGTATATTGTTTGAGGAACTATGCTCGATTGGGGAATAAAAGGCAGAACAAGACCGGTAGGTAATCTGCTTATTCTCTTCCTCCAGTTACCTTCTGTAGGCATTAGGGGGAAAAAAAGGGGGGGGGGGGAGTAAGGATCGTCTGCTTGCTCTTTCTAATCGTTGGTATAAGTCTATCTCAATTTCTTCAAAGCTGTTCTCGGTGCCATCGTTTCATATGTTGCGTAACGTTTGCCTTGGTAGGTTTTATTTTGAAGTGAAGTGGGATGCGTGGTCTCGAGGCATGGTGTTCGCCTCAAGTGCTAAAGGTTCTGGTTTCATTCCCCGGTAAGGGCTGGGATTTTTTTGACGTGAACTTAGACTTTGCTAATTCCCCTAAGTCTCTGGGTAGTGAGATCAGACGCCCGTATGCATTGCTGCGCACGTAAAAAATCCCTCGGCAGTTGAAAATCGAAACGAGTAGCCTAACGGTGCTGCCCGGGCAAAATTTGGAGTTGAAATTCTACCCAAAGTTATTTCACGATCCTCGCCTGTGCTACAGAGCCTGTGCACTGTGCTGAGCTTCTTCGGACTCAAGACTTGAGTTAAAAGATGAACCGAGCACTTATATGTTACTACCCTTGTGACATGATGTTGATCCGCTGTTCAAAACCTCAAACTTTTAAAGTGACAAAATATAACAGTTGGTACCAGGGCATTCTCGTTAGATCACCACACCATCTCGTCTGTCCCCCTCCCCCAAAGTCTTATTAGATTTGCCTTGGTAGACAGAGGTATCAAAAGTGATGTTAGTAGTTCCAGTATCTGCAAATCGTGTATTAATTTCGCTAGCGATTCTTACTTCAAATGTGAAATTCACCAAAAATATTTAACATCTACTTGTTAATGTTATTTGTATGCTATTTACTTGTATGTATACTAGTTGTCTCTCTATTGCCATTACACCTGTTTTTCTTCCTATTATTATTTTTAAATTATTTTTATCACACTTGGCATTGACTTGATTGATCTGATTTTGAAGACTCCCATCTGCTTCTGCTACTAATACTTGGCCATCTCCAAATAACTGTTATGAAATATATTCTTTTTAACTCACTGCTGTTTTGCATACATTTTAAATGTACGCTATAAAACGGAACAGTAATGAGTTAAGAACCGACATCATAGCACTGGAGAATTTTTTACAAGCGCTCCGTCCATATCTTCAGCAGCCACCACAGAGCTGCAATTCGAATGGTACCAGTAACAGTCTGACTGTATGTCTGTCTCTCGCCTCCCCGGAGCGTTGGTCATCGGCCAGATCCCCTGGTCACTCCTCGATGTAACATTCTCTTCGGACCGTGACGATCTCTATGTGCCTCGCTCGTTCCTAAAAAAGCCCTTACAAAATCTAGCTGATGAAACTAGAACGCATAGAGAATAATGTCATGAGAGTAATTAAGGGATACGCAGGACATACCCTGGTAATATGTATGCTATATATATACTTGCACTGCCGACTAAAACAGATAGGCTCAAAGTGCTGCAAGCAAAGTTATATCTCAGAGTAGCCGCAGGCAAGAAGCAACTCCTGCAAGAAGCCCTAGGTGGAGGTAAGGGGTCACCGACTGATACTCGGGCATGCAGGCCCGTTTTACATTCAAAACATATAACACATGCTCTGCACACGTTCTACAATATGCTGCCCGCTGTAGTTATCTCTGTCGGTGTTTACAGGCAGACCAAATGGGGTTTTGCTGGAGAAAAGAAAGTCGAAAACTTCTACCAGCATCAACAAATTGTGAGCTTTAGGTTATAATTGAGACTAGTTTATGTGAGCAATACTAAATGGCTTTGCATTGCACACCACAAAGAGCCCTGAAAAGGACTCCCGCAGTGTTGATACGGTCAAAGGAGACATATCTAAATACTGTTCCTATGGGCGACGAAGTAGTCTACCGGCGACCAATGGGTGACCCAATCATAGAGTGGCGATTCCTCCCAAGGTGTTCGCCTCTTCCCGATATGTCCGTTCGAGTCACCCATTTAAATCATAAGTAATTTTCAATAAGCACCTGATTGATGACGTCCGATTTTTGAGTTGAAGTATTTTTATTTTCTTCTGAGGTGTAGCCGTCATTGTAGGTGCACATGTCTGCATAAGGGTGATTATTTTCCCTGGAGTTGAAGTATTATTATCTACTATTATCCGTTCGGAAACCTATTCCATTTTCTTTATCTGTTTAGCTATATCAGGATGAAGAATGAAACCATGAATAGCTTTCTGCTCTTTCTTGACGTCGCTCCAAAAAATTACAGTCATTATGTATTTATTTTGTTATTTTACTATTTTTCTACGGCCTGATATTACCATTATAGTAATTGTATGTTGTTTTGGCATTAATATCACGAATAGATGTTATCATACATTCTGTCGAACCAACGATGCGAGCATCAAGAGCATACAACATGAAAATCGAAACACCAAGAGGCAGGGGAAGACCAAGAAGAAGATGGATTGAAGGAGTCACGGACAACTTGAGACTTCATAACATCACGGCATATGAAGCGACTGAGCGCGCCCTGGCTCGGTTGCCGATCATCTGATAGACTGCGACGCCTACGGCACAAGTAGATTTTGACAAAAGAAGAAGAAGAAGATACATTCTGTCATCTCGATACTGGACGCAATTGTTCGTTATTTTAAAGCCCCACCCCGGCTTTTTGTCGGGGATCCTAATTTAATCTAACGGCTGTTTATCGCTTGGTGGATGTTCTAGTGGATTTGAATCTCATTCATTTATTTATTTTTTAATCTGGTCTGTAATCCGCCATGTTAGAAGCTCGTGTGCTATAACGGATCAGGTTAGAGGGAGAGTTGTGAAGGGAGATTCTGGAACTTTTGCCGTAACTATAAGTAGTCTGACAATGGAGGTCATGGCTGTGACTAAAGTAGTAACATGGCTAGAGACACTGACTTTCCCCGGAGCATGCTTTCTTAGTGACTCGATGAAAATACTAGGGACGATAGAAAAGGGCTGAATCTGAAGGCAGTGGTTGGGTTGGTGGCTCTGCAGAATTCACGGCTGACAAGGATTAGTTTTATTTTCGTGCCGGATAAGTGGGAGTACAGGGAAATGAGCAAGTTGATAGGTAAGACTAATGTGAAAGCCGGACAAGCCATGAATCAGGCTGATATATCGAATGCTCGAAGAGAGTTAAGAATTTTGCTGGAACCAACTGAGCAACAGCTGGAACCAACAGCAAGTTAAACGGTGTGTATCCAAACAAAAACACTACGCGGGTAGCCAAAGAAGAACAAATCAACACAGAATTAATGTCGTCAGCCGCTACACGCTGCGGGATTTACTGATTAGGGGATCCAAGCACTTACGGACTGAATGGTTCGACATGCACTGTGGATAATCTGCCGACTAACTATCAATCAATCAATCATTCTTTCAATAGATTCCATTAAAATTTGATCCGCAGCGAGATTCGTTCCAATTTTTTTACGGCTACTTTTAGTTCCGATACAATTTTTTAAATCCAACAAAATGGCAACTTCCTTAGACTCAAATACATCAACAATTTTTGGTCGAGTCCGATTACATTAGGTTTAAAGTTCCACAAATCCTAGTTATCATTTAAACATGGGCGATAGATTAAAAGAGATGAAAGCACGTTCCGTTAAACGGAAGCAGCTTCTTGCCCAAGTTGTAAGTTATAGTTAAAAGATGTATATAATTTTACTCTATATTCTATAATTTGTTGTAATTAATTGGAATTCAAATTGTAGTTTCTTTAGTTTCGCGGCAGGACTATGAAGAATACTATACAACACACCGTCATTTGTAGGTATTTTAATAATTTTAATTTCAATGAAGATTTTGTTTAGTAGTCCCTAGGATAAGAAAAGTAAATTTTTCAGGAATAATACAATGGCTGCAAGTAATGGTGCCCCATATAGGTTACCAAATATCGGCTCTCCTTTCAACTTCGGCCGGTAGACAAACATCGACTGCCATTTAGTCGGAGTTATGTCCCCTTGCTACAGTGCAATTACGTACTGGAGACGGCACAAATCAAACAACACAGTGAGGTCCTCCACATGCAGACCCCGCGCTGCCACTCAAATTAGCGACCGTGTTCAATTACCGCTTCTTCCGACGCATTACGAAGTGGACTAGAGGGAACGAGACAAGTGACATAGTTACTTTGTGTCGGCGAAAGACAACATGCAGTGCCCTAGGGTTAGCGGTAGGGTTTAGTTTGTGCGAAGACGAGATGCGGCGACAGTAACCTTAACCCACACCCTAAACTTAATCCTACTGCTAAACCAAACCCTAACCCTAACCCAAACCGTAACCGTATGCTGTCTATCGGCAACACACAGTAATTATGTCATTTGTTTCGTTCCCTCCTGTCCAGTCCGTAATTGCACTGTAGCAAGGGGACATAACTCTGACTAACCGGCCGTCAATGTTTGTCTACCGGCCAAAGTTGAAAGGAGAGATCAAATACTTAATTAACATTCGGCTTTCCTTTAAATAACGGTCGCTAGCTGGAAAGCCGACGGTCGCTTAGTGGGAGTTCACTCCCTTGGCTGCATTGCAAATACGGAGCGTAAAGAGGGAACGAAACAAAGGACGTACTTACCTGTCATCCTATGGTTGGGTAGGGTTAGGGTTTCGGTTAGGGTTAGATGTGACAATTTTGAACAAATGACGTACTTACCTGTCATTATACGGTTACATAGGGGGTAGGGTTAGATGTGACAATTTTGACGCAGGAGTTCCAAAAAATGGTCGACCGCGTTCTTCTGACGCACGACTTACTGACGGTAGATGTGAGACCTGCGGATCTGTATGTCGTAATGAGCGATAAGCTTCCGTCGTTTCCGTGATGTGTCACCCTAACCCTACCTCTAACCCTAATCCAAACCCTAACCATAACCCAAACCCTACCCCAAACCCTAACACTACCCCTAACCCAAACCCTAATGTCTAACTGCCATGTTGACCTTGTTTTTGATTCGTAACTTTTCCACTCCGTATTTGCAATGCAGCCAAGGGAGTGAACTCCCACTAAGCGACCGTTGGCTTTCCAGCTAGCTCTGACAGGGTCTCGGCGATACGTTGCTTGCCGACCCGCTTCTGCGAGTGTGCCTCACCGCCGAGCGTATTCCCTAAACTAGATGGCTGGAACTCACGAGCGGCAGCTACCGCATCTCCTGCAACTTCCTCCAATTACTCTACTCGTGAGTCCCATGCACCTAGTTTAGCCCCCATCCGCGCCGCGCGTAGCGGCGTGGGGGATACGCTCGGCGGTGAGTTTAATCGCGTTTGGCGCATGCCAACAAGTCTGATATCTACCGCTGCTAAATCCTCCAATTGGAAGAACACAGTATTGCTAATCGGCTTTCATCGTCTGTAATGTCTCGAAATTGGTCAACGGTCGCTAATATCGTCTGCTAGTATCGTCTGCAGAAACGCTTGAAATTGTTGTCAACGGTCTGTATTTATCGTCTGCTACTAGTACCGTGTGCAAACGTTGATATTGATTGTCAAGTAATCCTAGTTTTGCCGCGATTTGTTCCTTGGCAGAAAGTCCGTATTTTAGATATACGCGAACACCGTCGTTCGGATATTTTTGGATATTTTTTGGCCAGAATGTGGCATGCCGCCATTTTGGGGAATGATTCAAAGGAGCGCCTAAATAACTACAGCTATAAGTAAAACACGACGTACAACTTTTTATATAATACAGCTGAATTAACAAATTCTGGAGTCATTGTTTGGCCACCTTTAACAAGTATCAGTTATAATTTAAAGGGTCAGTTAACTCTACATGATTTCGTCTTCTTCTTCTTGATGTTCACCAACTGTAAACTCTGGCAGAAAGTTCAGGTTGTTTGTCCACCTCTTTAGTCTTGTTCCAGAACTTTCAGAACCTATGTGTTGCATTGCATGCACATCCATTTTACAGATCTTACGTATATGCATATTGTTGGTTCCTCGTCTCTCAGGCAGATGCAGTCTGAGTCTGACTTTAAAGGAAGCCTCCAGTTGACTGTTATGACATGCTTGTTTGGGACCCTGTGGGTCTGTTTCCCCCCCCCCCCCCCCCCCCCCCCCCCCCCCCCTCTCACAATAGAGCTATGGAGCCCACTAGGGTTCCACATGATTTGAAAATGGGGGTGACCTTTGTCAAGCTGTTTTCTTCTTTTATGTTCACCCCAAAAGGGTAATTGGCATATTGTGTTATAGTTCACAGTAAGGCTGCAATATCCAAGTTTTCAGCCGAACATGTCCAGTTCAGTAAAATCCTAATTAATCACCTTTTACAACATGCTTGTTGAGGGAAAATGAATCTGTTCCTGTTACCTCCCAAAGTGCGGCTCCAGAGCCCACAGGGAAATGGTGGTATTGTCTGAATAAATATGAGATGTCTGAATAAATATGAGATGTCTGAATAAATATGAGATGTCTGAATAAATATGAGATGTCTGAATAAATATAAGATGTCTGAATAAATATGAGATGTCATCGATAAAGACATTGGTTAGTTTGTCTTTCCTTCTGAGGGACTGCGTGGCCTCGAGATATGGTGTCCACCTCATGTGCTAGAGGTCCCGGGTTCAGGCCCCAGTGAGGGCTGGGAGTTTTTCACGTAGACTTCTAGTAATTTCCCCTGGTCTCTGGGTAATCAGATCGGACGCCTGTGTGTACTGTTGTACACATAAACAAATCCCTTGGCAGTTAGAAATAAAAAAGAGTAGCCTAATGGCGCTGCCTGGGCAAAATTTGAAGTCAAAAATCTTCCAAAAATATTTCAGCTACTTCGGACTCAGACTTGAGTTAGAAGTAGAACGGAGCACCTATGGGTTACTAAACATTTGCCGTGATGATGATCCACTGTTCAAACCTGTCTTTTTTTCTGCAGAGCTTTTTAGCTGTATTTTGTTTTTTCATTGATTGCTATTGATTTGAAAGTCGGGGAAAACCCACAGTGCTTTTACAGTGTATTCACTCAGTTGCATATCATATACTCATATAAGTTCTTTGGCCCCAGTTTCCATGGAAAGAAAAAGTCCCACTGGTCACACGCACATGCTTACACACAGACGCCCTGCCCTCCGTGACTAATTAGGGATCTGCTGACATTAGATGTGTTGGGACTAAAGTTGTGGATATCACAGCCTACCTGTAAACCCTTACATAACAGGCCAAAATCTCTCTTGAGGACTGATGCAGAGGATAACAATCAGTGACGGACAAAAATCTAGTCCACAGTAGTCCAACTGTAGAAGATTTCCTGTATTAGTAGAAAGTTAACTAATTTTTGGTATGTCCACAGTATGGTATTGAAAATCCGGACAACTTGAAAACTGTTCTCAGGGCCCGTGATGAGATCAAACCACAGAACAAGAAGGAAAAATCTAGGTACATGAATGAATGTGGCATTTTCAGATATTGAAAGGCACTAATATTAAATCGTTAATATTATAATTGCACACAAAAAAACAAGTGTGGGTTATCTGCTACCTAATCACTGTGTCATTGTACTAGACACTGGTGATTCCCTATCTGTTGTTTTATTACATCGTTGTATAATTATATTAGCTGTGATGAAATTAGTTATCTACCACATCATTGCTGTAATAACTATTAGACACACACAATCAGTTATCTACATCTATGCTGTAATAACTACTAGACACACATACAATCAGTTATCTACCACATCATTGCTGTATTAACTACTAGACACACTTACAATACATTATCTACCACATCATTGCTGTATTAACTACTAGACACACATACAATCCATTATCTACCACATCATTGCTGTATTAACTACTAGACACACTTACAATACATTATCTACCACATCATTGCTGTATTAACTACTAGACACACACAATCAGTTATCTACATCTCTGCTGTAATAACTGCTATACACACATACAATCCGTTATCTACCACATCATTGCTGTATTAACTACTAGACACACATACAATCCATTATCTACCATATCATTGCTTTATTAACTGCTAGACACACACAATCAGTTATCTACCACATCATTGCTGTAATAACTGTACTAGACACACACAATCAGTTATCAATTACATTGTTACTATGTAACTATTGGACACATGCAATGAATAGATAATATTGCTGTATAGCATATACTAGACACCTAGTTTGAGAGTGGAGGTGGAGGCAGTCAGTGCAGTTTTTTTCTTTCGCTTGAGAACCATCTATACACACTTGTCATGATTGTAACACACAAAGCATGTTGAGAAGGGTGAAGACAGACCTGTTCTGTGCAAACTGACAAGCATTGCTTCAGAGTCTCCACGTGCATACCATCCATTTGATCATTTTTCCAGGAGTGCAGGTGTTTTGGGAAATGAATTGGCAGACAGACTGGCTAGTTCTGCACCACCTGTTGGTGGCAAATTGATGTATTGCTAGCTAGATGTGGTTAAGACTCTTTGGGAGCGATTGAGCAGTGTGGAAGCACACATAGATCATCAGTCTGTAGAAATGTGTGCAGCGGGAAGTTACCAGGGAATTTAGCCCACACACAACACTCAGAAGAAGTGCAAGACGGTGTAAAATCAGATTGCTGCTAGTACCATCAGAATAGAAATATGCGCTGGCTGCTGAAGATGGGAACAGAGCGATTATGGAAATGTCCTAAACACTGTCAACATGTTTCCTAATCCACATAAACTCAACTAAAAACATGCAATCGATTATTTCATACCATTACTGTGTGATTATTGTTTTTGCATGTTACTAGCCATGGTTCACATAGTTACTGTGATTCTGCAATGCATCACTAACAAGTTTACCTGACTTTTCTGACTTTTTTAGTATAGGTGACGGCCATTATCCTCCCCCATTAGCAGCCTCATCCTCATCAGTGCCTGTACAGTTTGTCAAACAGGTGCAGAGATCACTTCTGGGACCAGGCCCTGTAAGCTTTTAGTGCTCATGTTTTCATGTTTGCTTATAAGATTTGTCAGTATATGTCTGCTGCAGGCACATATATGTGAATGTTTATGGCTAGGTTTCTTGAACACTGGGTGAATGCTTTGCTCTGTTATGTGCACATATGTGTGAATGTTTATGGTCATGTTTTTTTTTTAAACATTGAGTAAATGTTTTGGTCTATTACTTGCACTTATCTGTGAATTTTTGTTATTGTTTCATAAGCACTGAATAAATGTTTTGATGTGTTACACGTACATACATGTGAATATTTATGATTGTTTAAGGAGCACTGGCTGAATGTGATTTTATGAGTTATAATAGATAATTCAGAGGAGGAAATATAGAGGGCGATCAAGAAGGAAGTTGCTGGACAGTTTGACATGGCATGGAGGAACATCTGTATGAGAATTAGCGGATACTGCACGAGACAGATGGCTGTGGACAGGCTTTGGTCAAAACAGATTATTTAGCATGGAAAAATAACTTGAAAAGTTAGATTTCTTCATCTGCTAATGCTTCTGGTTTTCCTTCTTCTGCATTCAACCTTACAAGAGGTAGAGTGTTCCATTCGCCTTTCATAAATCCTGTGTAAAGTTTTCTCTAACATTTGGCTAGCTTGAATAGTTGTAGTTGTCCATATTAAATGCGACTACACATAGTCGACCCCATGTGGGACGCAATTTTAAAAAAATATGAAGCCCTACCCTGGCTTTTGCCCCGGGGCCCTGAATATAGAGGTTTCTGGGACCTCTCCACAGGTGATCCTCATTTGCATGGTGGCGCTTTGTGTCACCAGGTGTTTCGCGCTTGTGTGATGCCCTGGTGGGGTACAACTACCTACCTACCTAAATGGGACTGATACTTACGGACATCAATTGGTCCAGACATGTGTCAAGACAACTACCAGATAGTGCAGCAGAGAGAGGAGTCCCAGTCATTTGGATATGGTGGATGCAGACCTAGAGTTGACTGTACAGGTGATGGACAGGTGAAATATCAGCATCTACATGGTACATACCAAGGCTTGCACCTAGTGCTTTTTTAGAACCTGATGCTGGAAGGCAGAACAATACTAGAGAAGAGGAGGTTGTTATTGTGCTGGGACATCTGCTTTCGGAACTGCAACATACAGAATCCTTTATGTTTCTTTGCATTATAGATATATAAAGAGACAAAGTATTAATTGGCACTTATAGGAAGAAGTTCTATGAGTGCGGGTCAATTCATTTTCTGTTACTTTAATAATACATTTTCTGTTACTTTATTGATAGGAAGAAGTCGATAGGTAGAAGGACACACTAGACAACATAAACTATTTGTAGAGTGTGTCCTTCTATCTTTCGACTTCTTCCTTTAAGTGCCGATCGATACATTGTCTCTTTAATAATTATATATCTATAATATTTCAAGAGTTCCACCTCTGTTTCTGTGTTTCTTTGCAGAAAAATAAACTTGACACCTTTTTTCCCCTTCTATATATAGGAAGGATTTAAAGATGACTTTGAAACAGAAGAGGTATACACAGATTCTAGTGCCTTTCTCAAGGTAACACATTTTAAAAACTAACTATAAATATATATACTGTGCTTAGTAAGAACTGATAAACATAATTGCTTTCTTTTGAACATATAATGTGGTGAGGCTCCAATCTCTTCCACTATGCGACTTTTGTGTCACTGTTGGACCTTTTATTTCATCTCCACTATTGACGTATGATCAGGTCCTGGTCAGATATGACGGAGCTTACTGAAAGGAAGGTTGAGGCTGATTTACAAAATGACAGTTTCTGGTACTATCAGAATTGGAACTCTTTGCTTGCTGCTGAAGATGGAGACAGAGTGCTTATAGGAGTGTCCTGTGGGCTGTGATGTCGATTCTTGATTCTTGCATTCTACTTGAATAAAATGCCAAGTGAATGCATGCTGGTGGAAAACACAGTTACGTATCAACGGTCAACATAAAGAAGTACACTGGAAGATGACTATGTGACATGAAGACAGAGAACTGAAGGTGTAAAATTTCACGAAACTCTTTCTTGTTAAAATGACATGAAAATGTAATAAAACAGACAAATATAAGGCTCTCCTCGACTTAGACCGAGCTCAGCTCCTACAAACAGGTCATGAGTAGAACTGGTCTTAAGTCAAAATTATATTTTCAACACTATTTTCATTCAAATGGATTATAAAAATTGTACATAAACACTTTTAAAAACAAAACAATTCAAAACATATATGTATAACTTTTAAATAATATGAAATATTTGTAATGTGTACCATGTTGTACATACTGTAAACTTACAATAACCTGCCATTACTGTTTTTTTTTAATGATTCTTTGTGGTCCTGATATACCTGCCAAAACAGCTCTCACATGGACACCAGAAGGAAAGAAAAAGAAGGGGTGCCCGAAAAACAACATGGAGACGAACAATGGAAAGTGAACTGAGTGCTGCATCTCTGTCATGGAAAACTGCACTAAAGATTGCACAGTACAGGAAAGCATGGGAAGTCCTCTCTGAAGCCTCATGTGCCACTAGGCATAATGAGAATTGATGATTCCTTGTGATCATAAGTATGGATGATCATAAGTTGCATAGGTTGTAAGTTGAGAAGGTGTATGTTTCACAAACTGCTATCTGGTTTGACCTAGAACATAAGTAATTCTATAATATCGGAATATGACATCACAATGTTTATCCTGTGTTTTTAAAAAATGTTCCAGGGTTTACAGAGTGCCAACCCACATAATGATTATTGTCAACACTTTGTGGACACAGGAGAGAGGCCTCAGAATTTTATCAGGGATGTTGGTATGGTTTATAATATTAATTTATAATATTAAGATATTTTGTAAGTAAACTGAATACATTTAGTGTGTTGCATTTTTCTTGAAACAGTTTTAAAGCTCCAGGACAGTGTGTTCCATTTGAGGTTCTACAGAGCAAATTTAAGTCCATGCTATCATATTTCTTAGAAAACATTCAATCCTTTGTGTTATTCTAATATATATAAATTATAATATTAAGTTCTTAAATATGACCTTTGAAAAGGATGGGATCCATGGCAGAGCTTAAGAAATAAGAGAGATCCACAGGCTCTTGCTAATTGGAAGCCACTAAAGGACCCTTTTCCATGCCTTTAGGTGTATTGGGCATATAGGGCTAGACCTATATTTTGTAGACCAATTTGCACTCGGTGGATGATGTGGTCAACATCATGCTGGCTGTCTTCCCTGGACTATCTGATAGCAGTTTAAGGTCGGGTCGAACTGAAAGCCAAGATTATTTTTATATAAAAGTCTGGCATGTTCAAATTGAATCCAAAGACCTTGAAATCTGCAGGTGTGTCTCTAGCCGTTGCACCTTGGCAGCTCCCACTGGAGCCATTGCTCTAAGAGAAATTAAATTGTCCCAAGATTTTGCAAAGTTGGAAAGTTTTGGCTATAATGGGCTTTGCTCTTGTGGGCTGTGCTTACAGACCACAGAAGATATCCTGCAGCCCCTTGTACAGCCCATTTATTTAATGAGTGCAGTTTTTACCTTAGGAATCATTATTGCAGCTTGGGAGTTCCATGCTTTGTTTGATGCTTTTGGCAGGTGGCTAGCCGTTTTGTGGGAAAAGACCGAACCATATGGGATAACCCAGGGAAATCTTATTCTGCATTTATCCGAGGATGTTAATGCATTGTGCCCATTTACAGCACGGTTTGTTTTTTGTCCCTTTTTGCTGACACATCCAGCTTCAGCAGACATTTGGTGTGCAGATTAGCCTTCCCGGTTAAAACCCAGGCAAATAAAGTGGATCATTTTGACTTTCAGCATAATCACTGGTGGACTGTTTTATTGAGGCTTGTCATCTCTATTAAAGTTTCATATTCTTTGTCAGAAATTTGATTCTTTTTAGACAGATACCTGTCATTTTTAATCAGGCTTCTGCTACACTTGTTCCTTCAGGCATCAAAACCTAATCTTCTTCTTGTTCACGTTCACCAGCTGTACACTCTGGCAGAAAGTTCTGGTTGTTCGTCCACTACTGAACTGCAGTCCTGCTCCAGAACCTGAGTGTTGCATGTGCATCAGTTTTACAGATCTCATTCTCTCGAATACAGACTGTTGGTTCCTTGCCTCTCCGGCAGATGCACTCCGACTTCAAAGGAAGCTCCCCAATTAGTCGACTCTTACGACATGCTTTTGGGGAGGCAGTGGGTCTATTCTTGTTTTCTCCTACAATGGGGCCCCGGAACCCACACGGGGGAAAACCTAATATGACTTAGCTCACAGCGGTTACTGCAAGCAATAGTTTAGGTTTCCATTTCACAAATTATAATTTTTCAGTTTTAAAATAAACAAGGTGATAGCTGTACAGATGTACAGTTTAAAATTCCTGGTTTCTGCACTTTGCCTCTTGGCCTTATATTCTTCAGATAAATAACTGACTTTATAATTTTTAAATAATTCCTTCCACTACGTCAACCACAGGCTTGGGGGGGGGGGGGGGAACTATCTGAGGCAAGCCAGGGCCTTGTAAGCCCATGGTTTACACCACTAGACTATGAAATTGACTTGCATGTTTTGTGGGTCGTCTGCAGTCTTTTAATTTTTGCCCTTCAAAAGAGAGACTAATAGAATAGCAGGAAATAACCCTCCATACACGAAATGAGCACTCTCCCACAGTTTATACTCTGCCTTTGTAAACATATGTTTACTCATATGGCGGTATGTCAGGAAATGAAATGGGAGCTAGGCTGGCTGGCTCTGCACCTCTTGGTCAGTAAATTGATGCATGAAAAGCTATATGTTTTTAAGGCCCTTTAGGAGTTAGCAACAGCATGGAGGCACAAATAGATCATGAAAGTCTAAAGAAAATAGTGCAGCGACAAGTGGCCTGCACTTAACACTCAGGGAAAGGACAAAAGTGGTGTGCAGCCAGAATGTTACTGGTACCATAAGAATTTGAAACTCTGCCTTTACTGCTGAAAATGGGGATGGAGTGCTTATGGGAATGTTCAGAGTGCTGTGATGTAGATTCTTAACTTATATTTCTTTTCTCTAGACCCTGTTCTGCTTTTCAGCTTCAGATTTTTAAGAGTCATCTGGTGCGAGCCTTGGTATGTGCTACATAGATGCTAGTAGTCATGGCAGCAGATATTCTGACAATCCACTGATTGTGGACGACCTCTGCTTGCGTTGGCGACCTCTGCTTGTGTGGACGACCTCTGCTTGTGTGGACGACCTCTGCTTGTGTGGGTGACCTCTGCTTGTGTGGGTGACATATCTAGAACTGTTGGAAAGTGGCATACTTTTTGAAGGTTTTCTATGAGTAAATAGATTTTTATTTTAAATTTATTATACTTTAGCTTAATTTTATTCTTCAGGCTTGGCCAACAGATTTGAAGAATACCCGAAATTGAGAGAACTAATTCGCCTGAAAGATGAACTTATTGCTCAGACTAATACTCGACCCATGTAAGTTTTATATTCATGCAGCATTTTCTAGTTCCTATGCTTACTCTCACACTTAGAATTTGCTACTTGCTTTTATGTCTTTTCATCAATTTTTTTTTCTCCAAATAATTTTGTCCGGATGACACATTTAAAATAAAAGATTGCATATGCCAGGTGCAATTGTAATATCTAGCTGTAAATCCTGGACAATTGATAAACAAGCCAAATAATTTTTTGAGTCCTCAGAGATGTACTTTTACAGAAAAATGCTTAGAATTTCTTCGACAGCCAAAAAGAGCAGCCCAGATGTTTTGAAAAAAGCCAGGGCTATATGACAATTTATTACCAACATTGGAAAGAGACAGTAATAGTGTTTTTGGTCATGTTTTGAGAAGATGGAAACTGCCGCATGTTGTGACCACTGAGAAGATCTCCTGAAATAGAATAACAATGCAAGAATATTCTTGACAACCTTTTATCATGGCATAGAGGGGTGTCAACACATGAACTGATCAATGCTATTGAAGATCATAGATTATGGAAAAAGCTTATCACCCACACCAGAAAGTAAGGAAGATGATGATGCCATATGCACTAATTTCAATTCAATTAAGAAACCAACAATGCTGTATTCTTGTTCTTCCTTGTCAGTCTTGAAAAGAATGTTTCTATTTGTGGGTTCCAGGTCCCATTGAGGGATATACCCATGACAGGCATAAGAATAAAAGGTGTTTCCTCGGAATTTGGAGTGCTGGAGTGGCGAGGAATCAACAGTCTGCAGGAAATAAGTTGGATCTATAAAACTGATATGCATGCAACACTCAGGTTCTTAAACAAGACTAAAGTCTAGAAGTGGATGAACAACAATAAATTTCCGCTGAATTTAGTTTCAGTGAATGTGAATAAGAGTGAAAATGATGTATTCATTCATGAATTCGTTTGATGCTTTAATAAAACATAAATTGTTACGTTTTAACCGTTAAGTATATTTGATTTTATGTTTAGGTATTTACAAGCAGACTTAGAAGAGTTTGACTTAAGACAACTGAACTGCAAGTTTGATGTCATTTTGGTAGAACCTCCGTTGGAGGAGTACCAGAGGACACAAGGAGCTGTTTTTGACAAATACTGGGACTGGGATGAGGTTGGTAAAAAAGTTACTAACCCGCAGTGAATTACCTATCCTTTACAGGACATTGCAGAACCAACCCTGGCATTTTTTAATGTTGTGGTATTCCTAGACAAATTCTACTTTCAGTAGTTTGCCATTGCTTTCTTAATTGTCAGCTCTCAGTACCACTGTTGAAACGAACGCATATGATACTAGAGTCATATTTTTATTGGCCAAATGGCACGCAGTGGGTAATGTAGTCAGCATCGCAGCAAAAAATATGACTTTGATTTGTTTTCAAATCCAAGACCTTCAGGCCAGCATTATGTTCCCATGGCTTCCCTGTATCTGTGGAGTTTTATTTATGACTGCCCTGTTTTATAGTTAACCATGATAAGGCTAAACAAGTGAATCATGATACAGGGGAATTCCTGAAATCTTCTTCTTTGTGTTCGGTTTCGTATGCTCAGTTAAAACCACCAGGTGGGTTGCCCTTATGAACTCCCATGTCAGCTGCAGGTCCTTCATGGTTCCCCACAGCTTGCTCTCCACACTTTGCTCTTGAGGCCAGGTTTTGTTTTGAAGTTGTAGGTAAATTGGGCAGGTCTGCAGAATGTTCTCAGGTGTTTGTGGTCCTGTCTGACAGGCACACTGTGGGGACTGTATAGTCTTTACTGTATGTATTTGGTGGTTTAACTTGCAGTGTCCTGTTTGTAAGCAGAAAATTGGTGTATGTTGCTTTCTGTTGAGTCTGCTGATGGGGTCTTATGGATGTTTACTGTTGGTTTGTTCTCTCCACAGTTCCTGTGTTTTTCCTTGGTGAGTGTTTTGATTTCTGGTAATGACAACGAATGGATGTGTTCTTTCTCCTTTGTTCCATTTTTTGCAAGTCTGTCTGCTAACTCATTTCCTGGTATGCCACAGTGAGCCGGGATCCACTGAAAAATGATTTGATTGTTTTCTGAGAGTGTTTAACTGGCGGGTCAGTTCTCTCTCCATCTTGTCTCATACATCCCTCTGAGCCGCCTGGAAGACTGACCTGCAGTCAGACAGGAAATTATGTGCTGTTTTTAGTTTTTCTTTCCTCAAGCACTTTGGTTGCATCAATAATTGCTTGCTGCTGTGCTCTGAAGTTTGTTGAGAGTCTTCCGGAGGCGCATGACGTTTCTATTGTGGTTCCATCTTGCAGCATGATAATGGAACCAGCTTCTGTGGGGGGTTTTTCAGCTCCTTCAATAATCAATGGGTGTAGTGTCAATTTGGGTTTTAGGTAATAGTTGTAGGCACGTTCAAGGGTTTTTGCATGCAGCACTAGGTCACATTCTTTAGCCTTTCTGTCTCTGCCTGGGATTGTTGTTGTGACTGTATAGTTAGGCTGTAGGTCTATGCTGTATGCCTGGATCATTTCCCACCTTAAAGAATCTTTAGAAAGGATGTCACTGTTTTTTTGCATAGTACAATTTTTATAGATGCTGAAAGCTTTGTCTTTTCAGTTGGTTTTTAGTTAAGTTGTTTGCTGTACTGTGCATGGGGTTGTTGAAGCATGTTGTATTAAGAATCGACATCACAGTACTCAGGACACCCTATAAGCACCCCGTCCCCCATCTTCAGCAGCACGTGAAGAGTTAAAATTCTGATGGTACCAGTAACTGTCTGATTGTTTATCCGTCTCTGAGAAGCATTAAAAGGCATACATTCCATTGGGCCTAAAACAATATGTATCGGGTGACTCATGCTGTGACCTCTGTTAATGACGCTTAGTAAAAATTTGACATCAGCCTAGCTTTAAAAAAAAGGTCTGCGGATCACAAGGACACCACCACCCAAGAAAGAAAGAAAGAAAGAAAGAAAAAGAAAGAAAGAAAGAAATTCCAATTAAAAATGGGAAAGAGAAAAATCTTACACACACATGGGGGGGGGGGGGGGGGGGAGGGAGAGAGAGAGAAAGAAAGAAAGAGAAAGAGAGAGAGAGAATGGGAAAGAGAGAGAGTGAGAGAGAGAAAGAGAGAGTCAAGTAGAGTTTCCCAAGTCAAATGTTGCATACGTGTATCAAAAGGATCGGATTTCAACTTAAGACTAAAAGATGGAGGGTTCTAGAATCGATATTCGATCTCAGCCGTATGGGAATATTAACCAAAGTTTGCGTAATGAGGCGCCCGAGTGCAATCAACAGTATCAACCCAAGTGTTATGATCAAGCTCGGAAGAAGCAATCACCCGGTTATATATACTGCTTGTGAGGGTTTCACTGGTTATAGTGGCTGCCTCTTGGTTTTGGTTTCAGGGCCTACTCTTGAGGTGTTTGGAGTAGAACGGTGTTTGTCTGTACATCCACCCATCCATCCATCCATCTATCCATTCATCCATCCATTAATCAATTCATCAATCTATTTATCCATCCATCCATTAATCTATTCATCCATCCATATTTCCATCCATCAGTCTATCCGTCCGTCCGTCCTCTGTCTGTCTGTCTGTCTGTCTGTCTGTCTGTCTGTCTGCTTGTTAGTCTGTCTGTCCATTTATTAGGACTCTACTACTACTAGTTATTTGTGTTGATTTTTCCGCCACTTCAATTCACGAATCTCACATTCCTTATCTTTGGAAGTCCACGAACTTAGTGGTTAGTCGAGTTTCTAACTGCATGTCGCACTATTCCCTCCCAGTCTGTACCAGTGGAATTCACACACAGTGTCTGTACCAGTGGAATTCACACACAGTGTCTGCACCAGTGGAATTCATACACAGTGTCTGTAGCAGTGGAATTCACACACAGTATCTGTACCAGTGGAATTCACACACAGTATCTGTACCAGTGGAATTCACACACAGTATCTGTAACAGTGGAATTCACCCACAGTGTCGTTCACTGTCCCGGTTGAACACTAATGAAAATGTGTCAGTTCAGAAAACAATCTTGAAGCTTGCTCATGCAGAGTGAAAGCGCGTAAGGCAGCTATCAGACTGACCAACACTAACGGTCATACGCCAGAAATGCAACTAAAGTTGGTGCAAACAGTCAATCACGGAAGCAGGCTTTGCACCAGCAAAACTGCTCCATTCTGAAGGTTTTCGGCCACCCGCCATTTTACTGCAGTCAACAACACGTCGCTGCACAACAGACCCCCAAAAAAAAAAATTCAACTGAAATCCACAGTTCGCAGTGTCACCCTAAGCACTTAGATCGGTTATTCGCTCACGGGAACCTTTACCTTTTTATTCCCTGTTCAGAAATGGAGAATATGTATCAGCAAAACTTCACTGGAAACGAATAACTTTTCAGAGAGTCAGCGTTTAGTCGGCTTTCGGCCATTTTGGGCTGAAGTCCAAGAACTCAAGGAACTGCTAGAATAAATGTCCTTACTGTTATCATCTGTACTGTTAGACAGTGGGCGTGAATGGCTCAGGCGTTGCGAATGCACATCGTAATACCGAGATACCCGGCTGGAGACGAACTTTGGGCAATTGGAAAGCAGACTGCTTTGCTTTGATTTCAACTGAACGTAAAACTGACAGAATATGTCTATGAATTATATACAAAACACAGACTATATTGGTAAATTAGAGACTCGGAGAGAGAAAAAAATATATGTTGGGATTTGAAGACAGAACATGTTGTGTGGATTATAAATAGAACAACAGAGCATATTCTGGGCTTCATTTACTTTAATACACATCGCCCACACCACCCTCTTCCCATCTCCCGCGATACTTGGAGGGAGCTGTGTCTTAACCTCCTCTTTACAACAGCTGCAAGGAGGTTTGGTGTCCCTGACTTCCCGCTTGTTCGACCGGGTATTAACCTCCTCTTTTTAAACAATGAATTCTTACATTTCAGATTATTTCAGTTGTATTGTTATATTGGTTTTTTTTTTTTAGTACCTAATAATAATAATAATAATTTTAAACTTCAAAAAAGCTTAAACTTTTTGAGGTCTCGTCCTAGACATTTTAAAAAGTTTAGAAATCCCGCCCCTAGCAATTTATTTCTAATAGTGCCCCGGAACTGAACATACAGAAAACAGTCGACCGTTGGTAAATGTAGATGATTAACAGTTTCGCTTTTTTGCTTCCTTGCTCCCCAAAAAGAGTCATACCTGCCTTATTTCTGTACTTTATACTATTCAGATCGGTCAAAGAGAGTATTGTAAAGTTCACGCATGTGTTTTTGTGAGTGCGTGTGTGTGTGTGTATTGTGAATTGTTTTTTGTTTTGTTCTGCTGATAAACGCTAATCGCCGCAGCGTCTTATGTTTGTTTATTGCCAGTGGGTTTGTGTGTGCATGTGTGTGTGTGAAGCTGATACATATTTTATGTTTTTTTTTTTTTTGAAAATTAATTTCTATCTTTTCTCTCCCCCCCCCCCCCCCCCCGAACCACCTGACCATACCAGTTATTTTTATAGTAATATTATTCTTATCCTGACCTCCGAAAGGTTTGTACAGGGGTGAAGTCAGCTGGTAGCATTAACTATGAATCTCATAAATGCTTCCCTCTAGACAAGTCAGAAAAATGACATTTACCGGGAACAGTCCCCACCAGAAATGTCAGGTTTGTGGCTTCTTGTGGCAATAGGGTTAAGTTTTCACTGTCGGAATTTCTAAAGCTCACTGTCTGCCAACCACATAGTAGCATAGTGGTCTAGGTTTCTAATCCACACTGAGGCATTTTCCCCCCTAACTGACGTCTCTCAGGTTGACCAATACTAGATAATGCCCTGGGAAGTCAAAGGTGGGCGATATATGTTGACCACATCACGCAAAAGTCAGGTTAAAAAACTGGAGTATCTGCACCTTTCAACCTAACACTTCCTGTTTGAGCAAACCCTTGATTAGTGGCCTTTTACGATAAGCTTCTTGGGGGGGAGGGGGGGGGTGCAGTGGTTCTGTCCCGCACCCCCCCCCCCCTTTTTCCACCTTTTGAATTAGTGTCCTGGAACCCTTTTTTTCTTTTCTTGATATTCATAATATGCATATTATCATATAAATATAACATGCTTATTAATAAAATAAAGCTGCAGTGTGAAAGACGGGTGTTTGGGAGGGCCGAATGTAAGTCGGGCCTGCGTGCCCAGTTTGAGACCGTTTAAAAATAAAGTTCGTTTGTTGGTTCGTTCACAGAACTCTTATGTAATACGGTATCTTAATTCAGATTTAAATGCTGAAAATTAGAAACCTAAGCCATCTCTTTGTATTATTTTTTTTTAAATTTTCAGATTGAGTCTTTGGACATTCCATCAGTGGCTGCACAACGATCATTTATCTGGATCTGGTGTGGTAATGCTGAGGGGTTGGAGAGAGGAAGACTTGTAAGTATCATTCATTCTTTCATGGGTACATCTTTATACACATATCTTGTCTCCTTTGTCAGTTTCCCTGGCGTATACATTTCTTTAAAAAAAAAAAAAAAACTACAAATCGAAAGGTTGACTAATTACAATGCATCCAGTTATTGAAAGTAAATTTCTTGTAAAATGGGAAGAGAACCACTGAAATGTATTGTAACAGATGATAAGATTAATGGATGCCAGAAAGACTTGCATCATATAAATATTAAGCGTTGTTAAATAGCCCAAGAGAATAATTTTGGAGAGACATCTGTCTTTGTTAGTCAGCTAGGTACTAAATTGTGGGCTCCCATAGGATGTCATCTACTTAATTCCGGACACGTAATTGACACAGACAGTGCTTTCTGTGTGGTTTATCACACTCCGCACAGGCGACTGTTGAGAATGGCCGAAGCTTTAGCAATAAAAATTAACAACCCCCTCCTTTGTACCAAAGGTTAGTTTCGTATCCTTTACAGGACGTTGCAGAACCAACCCCAACAGCCCCTGGCTGTTGTGTGGTTTTTCTAGACAAATTAACATCCAGTAGTTTGCCATTGCTTTCTGGAGGGTCGGCTTTCTTGATACCACTGTCGAAACCAACGCAAGGCGCATGGCTCGCAGCCCTTCTTTGTAAGCAGACGGAATTTATAGTAAATTTGGAGTTACCCCGGTAGTCACGTGACTGCAGTGAGCTTCCGGCAGCAAAAACACTCGATAAGTTGAAAGAAACTACACATTCCAGTTGGATTTATTCAGTTTTGTGCTTCATTTTATATTGATGTAACTCTGTAGTAATGAACCTGACGAGATACAGCGAAATATGCCTGACAATAAATTGTGCAATGTATTGTTTTTGTCCGCATTATTTAAAGATATATTTCTGTTAGTGTCTGCTCTTTCTTTTCTCCCTGCTTGTGGCATCATTCTGGGCTATATTCACCTTTTGGCCAACTGACTTTACGTGCTTTTCTTTTAGAATGGGTTTCCTTAGTCTGTAGTCAACCAAGTCCTATTCATTGGATAAGGGATTATAGGTCCTTCTCCTGAATGCATTGATGTTCCCAGCTGACAAGCTCCATCTGCTTGACATTTATTGTTTTCAGGACAGGAAGAGTTTTTTCAGATAGGTCTGTTTACCCCTCTGCTTCTACAAATTATGTCTATTGATTAAGCACTGATGTACAATTGAAATGTCTTTTATTTCAGTGTCTAAAACGATGGGGGTTTCGTCGCTGTGAGGATATTTGTTGGATCAAAACAAATCTTAAAAACCCAGGGCATAACAAAAATTTGGAACCAAATGCAATTTTTCAAAGAACAAAGGTAAAGACTATATTTTATACTATGATTCACTGGCATAAACTCTGGCGGGAAATTCTGGTTGTACTTCCATTTCTGATCCTAGTCTTGTTCCAGATCTTGAGTTTTACATGCACATCTGATTGCTGGCTTATTTGTATGCAGACTGTTAGTTCTTTGTCTCTCAGGCAGATGTACTCGAACTGAAATAGAAACACTCCCGAATTATCAACTGTTATGGCATGCTTGTTAGGGGTCAACGGGTCGGTTCCTTTAGACTCCAAAATGGGGCCCCAAAACCGACACAGATAATAGTTTTGTGTACTATATATTTAGAATCTGATGCAAAAAAATGAAACTTCCAGGTAAAATCTGCATGAGGTACCTGAACAAAAACATTAGAAAACCTCAGTGCATCATGACGGTAGGAAAGTTTGAGGGGAGGAGAGGCAGAGGGAGACTGAGAGAGAAGTTGCTGGATGGTTTGACATCATGGCATGGAAGATCATCTGTATCAGAGTTGATTGAAAGTACACAAGACAGAAAGTTGTGGATAGACATGACTACCAACACCGCACAGCGTTGACTCGTCTTTCATTAACCTTTCCTGTCATTATACTTTTCTTCACTGACTCTTCCCAACTCATGCCAACAAGAAGAACTCTATTTGCCTGATATGTCGGATGAGGGACAGCACTTTGAGGAGGAGTCAGGTCATCCAGCATGATTCTGATTCTTGTTTTCACATCTGTTTTACTTAGCTCACTTGTGGCTCTGGCTAGACTTAGTGAGCGAAACAGTATTTGGATATGATAAAGTTCAGAGGTCCCTAGTATTTGGTGTCCTTTAGATTATTTCTCTAGGGTATGCAGGTGTGTTGGCAAACAGACAGAAAGTTAGTTAATTCTGCCACCACCACTGGATGGTGCATTCATGCCCGACAAGCTGAATGTGGCCAAAACCCTTTGCGAGCAAGTAAACATTGTGGAAGCATGGATTGATCATTAGAGTCTGGAGAGAATGGTGCAGTGGAGAGTGACCAGTGTATCTGGCTGAGACACTGCGCTCATAGGAGAGGCAAGACAGACATATAATCAGATGGCTACTGGTACCATCGACATAAGAACTTTTCACTGGCTGTGGGGGATAGGATTGAGTGCTTATGGAAATGTTCTGTGTGCTGTGATTTTATAACTCAACTGAGCTGATGAAGATCATAAAACTTTGAAATGTTTCCTTCAATGTGGATGTGCATGAGTCTAAAGAGCACTGGATTAGAAAACAGTCATGTGTGCAAAATATTTTAAACAGGAATTTGGACTTATTTTTTAAAAAGATCACTCAAGACTCAGTGTGTGATGTGGTTATCCTGAAAGCCAAGGTCATTTCTGACAAATCGGGCTTAGTGAGGATTTGAACCTTCAACCTTCGTTCCTGAGGTGATGTCTTAGACCACTGCACCATGACAAACTAGCGAACATAAAAATGCTGCTGTTAGGTCTGCAACGTCCTGTAAAGGATATGCAATGAATACAGTGCAAACCTAATAGGAGAATTCACAGGGGAACCCAAGAAATAGTTCTTCTTATCAGAAACTCCTCTTATCCAGATAAGAGTTCAAGCAAGAAAAATTGTTGAGGAATAAACAGATGATTCTTTACAACAGAAATTCACCACATCCAAGATCGCCTTAAATCTTTTTGAGTCTCAAGTAATGCATTTTGTGTAATGGCCTCTTATCACAAAGCCAAATGAATCCCAACCTCTGCATTATGTGTTTGTTGACATTTGGTTAGAGCATATTAAAACTTCTGGCCACTTCCACTGTAAAGTTAATCTCTGTGAAATTGATGCCCTCATGGCTTTATAATGGTTATTTCCCATCCATCCTAATACATCTCCTGCCAGACTTTCTGGTCCTGAAAGAGTTAAGCAGTCTGCACTGCACTTGTTTTCTTATTTTTGGATTTGACTTTGGTTTTATGCGCTGGTACACTAATGATAATGCTTTTTGCAGGAGCACTGTCTGATGGGAATCAGAGGCACAGTGAAGCGCAGTACGGATGGTGACTTTATCCACGCAAATGTAGACATTGATCTGATTATTGAGGAGCAACCAGAGTACGGCACCAAAGACAAACCTGTATGTAGATTGGCTTTTGTGTCTTTTATAGTAACAGTAAGAATAGCTGACATCTCTTAATAGTAAGAACAGCTTTGTTTCTTGCTTGTTAAGGATTGGATTGGATTTTTTACCCCACCAGGACATCACACAAGCGATAAACACCCGATGACACAAAGTGCCACCATGCGGATGAGGATCACCGTGGAGAGGTCCCAGAAACCGCGTTCAGACATTTGGCCATAATGATGACCTGCCTATATTGCGGCCCCTGGCAAAAGCCAGAGTGGGGCTTCAAATAACAAAAAATAACGTCCTAAGAAGGACGAAACTTACGAAGTAAGCGACTAATAACTTGCTTGTTAACACAAAGTACACTAGTTGTATAAAAAGAAATGAATCCACTAAACAGTTCCTCTTTCTATATATTAGAGTAATTCACATGGGCCCCCACCCCCCTTTTTTTTTCCACCTTTTTTTAATCCTCACCACCACCGCCTTGTGGGAACTGTTAGCTAAAATAATGTCACCCTTACTGTTATGGTGTTTGCTTAGGAAGGCTGATGCCAAAACATCTTATTTTGTCCTGTGTGAGTACGTTGCTTCCCTTTTATATATTAATTATTCACATGGACACCCCTCCCCTTTTTTTGCCTAACCACCACCTTGTGGAGACTGTTAGCTAGGATAATGTCACCCTTACTGTTGTGGTGTTTGTAGAGAAAGGCTCCTGTCAAAACATCTTTTTTTTTCTACATGTGTACGTTGTCCCCCCCCCCCCCCCCCCCCCCCCTTACCCCCCCCCCCCCCCCCCCCCCCCCCCCCCCCCCCCTCCCTCCCTCCTTTTCCAGTGAAGCTTCTTATTCACAGTTCAGTGGATTAATTTCTTGTTATGAGCTTGACTGCAGTCACCTATGATTTCATCACTTGTATTACACTACGTTGGAAGTGAATTATTTTTAGTAGTATTTCTTTCTGGCCTTGCGTGGATTTTTGTCGTGGTATGGGACGTCGCAGGTCGACCCAGCCTAAAATGGGTACCAGGATGGGCTGTCCTGGGAAAGTAAAGACAGCCGGCGTAATGCTGACCACATTACCCACAGAGTGCTGATGGTCTGTAAAAATATGGGACGCTCTGCCCATATGCCCGATGCGCCGAAAGGCGTGAAAAGGGAACTTTACTTTACTTCTTTCTGGCTTGCACATTGAATTATTCTTATTTCATTTTAGGTTTCAGTCGAAGATGCATCTAGTGATGTATATTTTTTTAAATTCTTGCTTTCTCATTTAAACAAAATATTTCCTCTGTTGATAAAGAAGCCTTTTCCACTTCTTGGGGCATGCTGGGCACATGGTGCTGGCCTTATTTTTAAACAGACCAGTCAACACTCCGTGGGTGTGAGTAATGGCATCACTGTCAAGGATCAAGAAGGAAGATTGGCTAGAAAACAGCATCTTGTCTCACAAACTGAAAAATTTTGGCCATATCAAGTGCCACAGTGGATTGTCAAAAAGTAATAGCAGAAGGCATGGTACCAAGAAAGAGGGACAGGGGCCACCCAGCATGAAGATGGGTACAGGATATATGTGACACTTTGGGTAGGAACATGCACGAGGCAGAAGAGCTGGCAAAAGACCGAGTTACTTTTAGGAAGACCGTGATGAGAGCAATGTTCTGCAAAGGACCTCCTACGTGATGATCATCACAATGGCCCGCTGTATATCTTCTGAGGCCTATTTTTATGCTGAATTACCTTGAGAGTCCAGGCATTCTATCATGAAAAATCATAAATGCATTACTTTCAAAGTAGCAGTGTGGATACTGGTGGTGATCATTGGAAAAGCCAGATTTCTCAAATCTTAGAAGTAAGAGAGCACTTTTTGCTGTGGAGGGAAATCAAAGGATAGAGTCTTTCAAACAAGGCATTGTTTGTGGCTTAAAGAGTTTACTTATATATATATAATTAAATTTTTGGAAGGTGATGGATTTTCTCCGTTATTTGAAACAGATCCTAACCTGCACAGGCTGTGCCAACTGCACTTGGCATGTGGCCCTAAATCCTCAGGCTTAAGACCCACGTATCCTAATAAATGATAAATACAGGAAATAAAAACAGTTTTATGTGCGTCACAAATTGTATTTTTAATTAAGCACACAAAAACATCCTTTCTGTTTCACTGGTCTTCTTCTTCTTCTGCCTTTCTATCCCCCAATGGAGCATAGGCCCTCAACCAACTCACACCAAGTCGTTCTAACCTTCGCCATTTCATGGAGCTCTCCCAAAGCCCTCCTCATCTTTCGAACTTCCTTCTCCAGCTCTCTTCTCCATTTGTTTTTTGGCCTTCCTTTATTCCTATGCTCCTGTGGGTTCCAATGCAAAGACATTCTAGTTATGCTGTTCTCCTGTTTTCTCAGTGTGTGTCCTATCCAATGCCAGCGTCTTTTCCTCCCCTTTTGGTCCACTGGAGCCTGTTTAGTTCTCTTCCAAAGATCTGCATTAGTTATTCTATCATTAGTTATTCACTGGTTACTGTTTGTATTTTCCATCAGGTGGAAATCTTTCATATAATTGAGCACTTCTGCCTTGGTCGGCGTCGCCTGCATCTGTTTGGTCGTGACAGTACTATACGTCCCGGATGGCTGACAGTTGGGCCAGAGCTGACCAGCTCAAACTTTGATGCTGAGGTCTACGCCAGCTTGTTTGAGGCAAAGCCAGACGACTACCTGACAGGGTGCTCTGATGAAATCGAGAGATTGCGACCGAAATCGCCCACACCCAAGAACAAACAGCCAACACAGCAGACTGAACGGGGTGGTAGAGGGGGAAGAGGTCGTGGCGGTCAGGCGGGGTCAAACATGAGGGGAGGGTCAAGAGGTGGAGGGATGCCTAGGGGATCAGCAGCTGGACGGGGAGCTCCTGGTGGAAGGTTCCGGGGACCCGGTCGGGGTGGGATTTTCAGGGGAATGAGAGGTGATATGAGATGAGTTGATTTAATTGGCTTTGTCATTGGGATAGGAGATAAGAAGAGGGACACTAAATAAGAGATCAGTTTATGTAGATTATTAGAAAGTGACTCTTATTTGCTAGCAGTTTAAATAAGAAATGAAAGAGGCTGTCAGTGTTTGTACTATAAATCCAAAAGCCATGGTGGTACAGTGGTTTGTGCACTTGCTTACAAACACAACAACCCAGCATCAATCCCTAGAAGTGACAGGATTCCCTTTTCTAGATGTTCTGTTATGGAGTTGACCAGCCTCATAGAATGGGTACCAGATAATTGTCCTCTCGTCTGGGAAAGAAAAGTGGTGAGAACTGACTAATTCACTTTCTTGGAATAAAAGAAATTATTACACTTCACACCTTGATGGCAGTATCTGCTATGATACAGCCTTCATTTTTATTATGTACTAACAGGAATGTCCTCAACTGATTTATACAGTATAATATGGGCAGTTTAAAAAAGAGCTGTCCTGCCAGTTTTATGACAACAGAGACAGGACATAAGGTCAGTCCCCAAGTTGTATCACAAGTACTGAAGATAGTCAACATCAGTCCTGATATTTTTAATCAAATGTAATTGAGACAGATTTGTTATTAGTTAATGAAGGTCTTAGAATGGTACAGCAAATCTCTGCAAAACAGATAGAGATTGTGACACAAAGCACAAACTCTAGCTCCAACAATGATCCCAATTTTACATTGATTTTGAGAGGGCCCTCTTGGGGAGGGGGGTCAGAAATGTATTCTAATTTGCATTAGCCATTGTTACATTGTGGGGCTACTTAAATAAATGTTGTAGTGTATCATTAGGAAACCTGTTTAATGCCTTTGCAAGTAAAATTCAAAATATACTCACATATATGCTGATAGTATATTTAGGACAAGAACAACTATAATAGTATAAATACCCCAAAAAACGATATTTTGTGGAATTGAGAAACATGTACTAGGTGCTGTCACAGAAATTATGGCTTTGTCTGGCCAGGCTACGAAATGCAACGTTGTTTTTAATAATGTAAATGGGGCTGATCAACAAAATGAAATTCATTCTGGTCGCTGCAGATGAGATGCTGCTACATTGAGTGTTTTTGGTGCCTCCCTTCAGGTTGTGTCCCTGACATACCTGCCATATTCAAGGTATACCACTGTGTATGAATGTGGACCGTTCAGTGGAAAACTGCTGAATGTAAAATTGCCTGGTAATACCACAGACGGAACTACAAATGTAAGGGCTAGTTTTGTGACATCCTTGAAGAGGACATGCAGCTTATTAAGCGAAACCAAGACACTGATTGTCTTTTTCTAGTTCTGGTGGATAAAGGATATTCACAGGAATCATGCCTAAACAGATCCAAGAAATCAAGGACTTTCTGCTCACAGCCGCAAGGAAGGATGCAAAATCTGTCAAGATCAAGAAGAACAAAGACAATGTCAAGTTCAAGGTGCCACGCAGCAGATACCTTTACACCCTGGTCATGCATGACCGAGAGAAGCTGAGACAGGCATTGCCACCAGGTCTGGCAGTCAAAGAGCTTAAGTGAAATTACTGAAAGAAGAAATCATTTTTTTTTTTAAAAAGACACTGATTGTCTCAGTATAAATTTATGAGCATTCACAAAATCTTGGTAACATTAATTTTAAAAAAAAATAGTTTTAGGACTGAGCAGCCTTGCATGGAACATACACAAAACTTTCTCAGAGCTCTCAAGGAGGCAGGATGAGAAGATGATTCAGGAACTGACGTTGAATCGGTAACACTCAAAATACTACAAGAACTTCAGATCAAAAGAGGTGTCGCCAAACATGAACGCTTTACAGGTATGCGAAGAAGAATAGTCAACCAATACAGAACTGGTGTTATCAGTCGCAGAGGGATAGATATACTGAAGGTGGGATCTGAGAGCTATCCTAGCGCTTATGGACTTGTCTGATGTGTAATGAGGATACTCTTAAATTAACTAACTTAAACAACAGTGAGAGATGTTACTAACAAAATGTTCTAGTGTGGTATTTTGGACATGTCATGTGGTGGCCTGAAGAAAACAGGGATTGGGGGGGGGGGGGGTTCTAGAAAACGAGACAGAGGGCGACCTCTACAAAGATGGATGCAGGATATTAAAGACGCATTGGTTTTGAAAGCACATAGGGCTGGAGAATTGGCTTGAGAAAGAGAGAATTTCAGGCATGCCATGAAGACTGACATTTTATAAAGGACATGATGATTGGTTGTTTGATTTGAGGATGGAAGAAATAGTTGGAATGTTTGCCTGCCTGCCATTTACTCGAAGTTGTTTTAAATCCCTAACAATTATTTTTAAAGTGACCTGGGCTGTAGGTTGACCTAGTCTGAAATGGACATTGGGAATTGTCCTGATGTGGTGCTGACCGGTCACCCACTGAGTCCCAGATTATAAAAAGATGTAGCGGGCAACCTACACACAACTTATGCCTCAGCTCTTCACGTGGGTCCTTTACTTTGTTTTTCCATGTACACCTAAAAGTGAGTTATATGGGTGGAAGAACAGTTATAACTCTACACATAAACATGTGAACAAAAAATAGTAATGGTCCAATGGGAGTCAAGGTCATTTAAAAAAAAAATTGGCCACATCAGGACGTGAACCTACGACCTTCCGATCCGCAGGCAGGCGTCTAGCCGCCAGCACCATGGTGACTCCCATAAATGTGTGTAAGAATGTATTGATGAAGAATTAGTAGTGGATCCAGCAAATACGGGCGTATGAGAGGAAGAGAACAACATATGTAGAATCTGTGTGCTACGGGAACAGTTAACGTCTACACCTTAAGACATTTGCTGTGGGAGACGGAGCGTCCATGGGTATGCCCAGAGTGCTATAATGTTGATTCTTAAATCTGTACACATTGAGTCCTTTACTTTCTTTTTCATTTACATATACAAGTAAGTTGATGTGAATGAAGGAAAGGTTACATGTTTTGCATGTACACATGTAAGTGGGTCATGTGGACGAAAGAACAGCCACTTCTGTACGCTTAAGAGTCCTTTACTTTCTTTTTCATAAACACATAAAAGCAAGTCATGTGGATGAGAGAAAGATCACGTGTTCATCTGTATACATAAGGTTGTCCAGAGAAAATAAAAGGAAAAGGGTGTGGGGGTATGTTGTATCAGACAATGCAGTGCGTTCACACCTCTAAGTTGTCACTGTTTCAGGCAGTAATGACAATTGATCAGTTGCCCCTTCTGGGCTGCTACTTAAAGGTTTACCACACCACCCTGAAATTTTAAAACATGTAACTTTGGATGACAGAGCAGGAGGGCAGATCCCTGATAACCGGATTTAACCTCCGAAGTGGTTGTATAAAGGTATTATTGGGGCACCCTACTGGCTAGAGTCCTAGTGAAGGGGGGTTGTATTAAATGGACACCGTTAAATGTGGACATTGTTATACAGGTATTAAATGTGCTGTTGTAAAAATGTGAAAATAAAAAATATGCGATTGAAGTTTTTTGTTGTTATAATTTTATTGTATTTATTTTTTTTCCGAACAGGGACCTACTGTGGCCCTCTATCTATTAATTGTTATCTTTTATCTATAGCTGTATTATGTAGGCACCAGAATGCATGAGTAAGTTAGCACAGGTTTATATTGTAACAGGTGGGGTTTAATGAATGCAAGGGAGATAATTTTAGTGGGGAGGGGGATGGCTTGGGGGGAAAGGAGGGTGACACAGTTGTGGTTATTTGGATGGGTGGAACTGCAGTGTAATTGAGGGAATGATGGGATGGGTTGCTTGCTAAATGCCCTGGTTCTCCATTTTGTGGAGTTGAGGCGTGGGAGTTGCGACACCTAATTGTGTCACCCGACAGCGAACCATCCCACCCACCAGCCGGTTTAAACTTTCTTAAGTGATAATGATTGCTTGACATTCTACAGTTTCCTAAATCATGTAACACATCTGTTTGCAGTATAGTTGTACAAAATACTGATAGATACTGGAACTATATTGTATCAATATATTGTTACACATCAGTGACATTATATTTATATAATACGCTAACTCTGCGCCTGGCAGTAATCAATATATAATTTGTTATGCAGACAATCAAATATGCAAGTGTTATTTCCCTTGTTAACAAAACAAAAACAAACAAAAAATTCTGTAGTATAGTTATACTCCTTATATGATTCCTTAAAAAAAAAAAAATTATTTCTGTAGCACACATATTGTATGCAACCTTTCTTTCATAGTTATTTCCCTTGTATGAAACCCTTTTCCTGTTTGTAGCCAATGATTTTGCTTGCGTAATACTTGCAATAATGTTATAATAATTATAGAATTCCTAGTCTGCTACATATTTTAGAATGGTACTTGTCTGAAGCAAGTTAGGGAATTTAAATATCTATGAAGAGAGAACAGACTGGGAGCAGCATGCACCAAATTCATTGAGAAACAAGATCTGGTCATCTCATTAGAATGTAGTCAGAACAACCACCAACACAGGCGCTGCACACAAAAAGATCTCATGTGAAATGCCTCAGGAGAATATGGACTGATGGCATTAAAAGACATTTTACATCAACAGGGAAGCCAGTGCTACCTATCAGACTGTATTGTTTGAACAACGGTTCAACATTATGGCACAAGGGTAGTAAACCATAAGTGCTCTGTTCTACTTCCCACTCAAGCATGAGTCCAAAGATTTTCAGCACAGTGCATGTAGCATCAGCGAGGATCCTGAAATACTTTGGGTAGATTTTTTAACTAAACATTTTACCCAGGCAGCATGGTTAGGCTACTCTTCTCGATTTCAAATGGCCTAGGTATTTTTTACGGGCGCAACAATACATATGGGCAACCGCTCTTATTAATCAGAGACCAGGTGAAATTACTAGAATTCCACGTGAAAATTTCTAGCCTTTACTGGGGCCTGAACCCAGGACCTCCAGCACTCAGGGCGGATGCCATGTTTCGAGACCACTCAGCCCCCTTTGCTCCTAT